GTATTCACTAATGACTATATATACAAGATTGTTGTAATTAAAATTATAAATTAACATATTAAGAGTGCTTGTTTAATCACTCGGGGTCCTATTCACAATGAAGACTTATGTACCTGCATGCAAAACAATGTGTTTTCAACCCAGCAGCAAACAGCATATACATTGTACTTTGGATTCTGTAAAAAAAGTAATGCATCACTAATTGCTATCTTAATGGGAGATAGGGGCTTCCAAGCTGGTAGGGCAGAGGTTAACGTATGACAGGCAGAGGAAATACCACATTGTTCCTCCAAGAACTCCAAAAGGAATCACTTAAGAAAGGCTGAAATGGTACTCCATTCTCAAAGAGTGAAAAGACAAAAGTTTACTAAAATAAAAGGATAATCTAAGAGCAGAAGTGACTCTAAAAGAACCCAGTCCATAGCTCTCAACCCTCATACTTCCAGAAGCAACAACTAAGCCATCCATGGCGATACTGGAAGATTTTGCAATAGAGAGTGATACAGTTACTCATGGAGAAAAGTCCCCACATTAGTTCTCAGGCTTTGTTACAGGCATGATAATGAAAGGAGTAGAAATGGAAGACTCTGGAAGAAACACATGATGCGTATTGCATAGCTAATTGAGAAAATATATTTAAATTGTAATTCTCAGAATTTTTGAATCTTCACAAATTTTGATTTTTGAAACTGATACTTAAGGAATAAACATACTTTCATGATTCAATGCTTTGAAAAGACTGAACAATACTTTTAACTTCTGTTGCTTTTTTTGGGGGGTTTGTTTTTGAATGGTCACTGGCATCTTTTAGTATCTGATAATGACAATACAAAATACATTAGATTTAAGAGTTACATTTCCTACAAATGCATTAGAATTTGTAAGAGTTATATATACCCTCTAAATTCTATTTGTCACTTAAAGAAACAGAACTGTAAGAGTTATAAAGTTCCAAGTTCAACTCTTACCCCTTTCCAATACCAAACCTGCAGACCACCCAAAGCATTGCCTTCTCATTGTTTGTAGCTATGACTTAATATCTGTGAGGTACCTGTGGATGTTTGATTTTAGAAAAAAATTAGAAAAAAGCTTACTTCCTGAAAATAAAGGAGGCGAGAGGGAAATTGGATGTGTACGTTGGCTTGGAATAGAACAAAGAAGTCCATGCTCTCTGATCTGAACATCCTTGACAGTGGTTATTTTATAACAAATCAAATGGCAATCAAAATAATTTTTTCTATTTGTATTTTTCATGTGACTTTGTTCTCTTGTACATGAAGAGTCAGAGAGCTCTGGCAAAATATGCTCACAATAAAGAATGAAACATTTTCTCAGAAAAACTCTAAAATGATATTTCCTTCAGAAAATAAAGATCTAAAAAGGAAAATGTTAATGTAATTTTAAAAATTAAAATTGAAGGAAAATTCTGTCAAAGAACCACACCATTATGAATTCTGCAGAGATTGTTTAATCCTTCAAGTCTCCACTTCTGTTCTGACCTCGCTAAACACAGTGTTGCCTGTAAGATGCCCAGTGACCCTGTGCTGTTTATAAGTCACCTTTCTCTTGCCATCCTGAGAACACAGGACAGTACAGCCACTGTCCTTCTAGAAGTCTCTTCCCTTGAATTTTCCGTTCCCACTTGTGCTGGTTCTTTTTTGCTGACTGACCATTTCTCAACACCCTCTAAAACCCTTTTCTTCTTCTTTCCAAAATGTAAACATTCACTGAGATGTGAACTTTTATTTGGAACTTTTTGCTATGCTTTTAGCTCCCATCTATATGCAGAGGATTAAAAAGTCTGAATCGCTCATGATTTGCATATTCTGTTGCTGGCTGGATAAAACTGCATGAATGTGGTCTGACTTAACACTCAGATGTTTATTCGTTTTTCCTCCACTATGTTTAATGGCATCACCATGGTCTACAGCATTCCCCTCCGGCATCAGTCCTTCTATTTCCTTAACTTTGACGTATTTGCCTTGCTCCTCCTCTATTCCTTTCTTTCAATCTTTGTTTATCTGATTTCCTCCTTGTTGGCCTTTTAGAAAAGTCTACTAGACTCCATTAACCATATCTATATTCCTCTGCCAAGAACCCCAAATTTTAACATGCCATTGCCTGCAACAGGGCCAGTCTCACGAACTGGGATGAGCACATGATATATGTTTAGCAGATACTTGCAAAGACGTTCACTAATGCTTTGCAGGCCAACTCCACTGCCACTTAATCTGATATAACTTCCCAGTCTCTGACATCAAAGTCCTTGATCCCATGTTCTGTTCCCATAGCTTTCTTGTACCCTTTCTCAATTGCACCCATGTGGTATCCCCATTTGTCAAATGCCAACACCTTCACACAGACACTATTAGATTACCTTTGAAACGCTCACGGGGCTTAAACTTATATCCCCTTAATCGACATTTACTGAATGAAGCATTCACAACAAAATATAGTAATGATAATTCTATATTTAAAAAAATATATATCGTTTCAAGCAAAGATTTGAAATGACTATCAAAATTTTGAATGACATTGTTCCTCCCCGAATGAAAAATAATGATTTTGGACTTCAGTTCTCCTAGAGTTTTTGCTGTTTAAGATTTTTTTTCAGGACTCACCATTGTTGGGTTTATGTTCCAATAGCATTAGAATTTCTCATGACTTCAACAACATTAGAAATTCTATATTTATAGTTGCTAAAAGTATTATTTAATAATTATGTCAATACTGGTAAAATAACTTTTATTGAGGGTATACTCTCTACTAAGCATTGCTTTAGATACCTACTGCACATGACTCTTTATCCTCACAAGTAACCTACAAAATAGGCTACCCCTACTTATATAGTGGACAAGTAAGGCACAGAGGTTACACGATTTACTCAGGAGATGGCAGAGACTAGCTTCAAGCCGTGGCATGATGGTCTACTATTTTTTCCCCCAAATATGTAAATTTCTATAGCAAAAAAGTCAATTAATTTGCACATGTCACAGCTTGCAGAAATAGGGGATGTTTCCAACTTCTATTTTTCAAGGATGAAGTGGCAGAAAGCAGATTAAGAGGGCTTAGGTTGGTTTAAACTTCGTTTATCTTCCAGTGGCCAGGAGTGGACTTAAGCCTCCTTGCCAGTAACTAAATGATGCTTCCTGGAGACCAGGTGCCTTGTTTTCCACGCCACAAGATCTTTGCTGCCACCAGTGAGTCGATATTAGCAAGATGTCATCACTGTGGCACTGAGCAGGGAGGACTCTGTCTTGCAGACATTTTTTCTCATTTTCCCTTTTCATCTATAGGATTCCAGTTTCTAGTGATCAGCACATGTGTCTTCAATTGCTGAAGTTTGCTGGTGTCTAAAAAAAGACTCACTAGCTCCCATGGGGAGGGGAGTCTAATGAATAGTGCTTGAAGTAATGGCATGGGAGGCACCCAAGAGAGGCACCGTGTGAGATACAGACTGGAGAAAGACCTGGGTGGGGAGATACTGGCATTGAAAATGTCACTGGGAGGGATGTCAGGGGAAGGTGAAAGGACAGCAACCAAGCAGTTGGGATAAGAATTAAGAATGTAAGTCAAAGCTACAAGAATATCTGGGAACCATATACCACAGAGGTCTGTAACCATGTTATACTATGGAGAGGCAGAAAATCCCCTAACAGTAAGGGATCCAGCACAAAGTGGACAGGCATTGTGTGGAGCCTTCAAGACTCTGTTACTGTTGGCTAGGTAGATGCTCTATCACATTCATCTCAGCTCTACTGCACACTCAAGTCCACTAACCTCCAGCACACTCAGGACATTTACATCTTGTGCTCTTATTTCTTCTTTCTCCAGCTCAAAAGACTTAGCTCTCAACTTTTACTCTCTAGATGCTAATTGTATCATTTTTTTCCTGCAGGAGATAGGCAATGTTTTTCCATGGTTGTCTATTTTAATAACTCTATGTTGATATAGTATACAAGAATAAATAATAGGTATACAGTCTGACAAGAGATTGGTGTTTTTTTTATACTAGGTACCCCTGAAATACATACACACATCTGAAATACACGTATAGTAAGTACATTTGTAAACACCAGCATTTCTGTTATAGAGGTTGTAAAACATAATATTCTAGTAGTTGGAACTCAGTCTCACTGATGGAAAATTTGAACAAATAAAATTATATGGATGGAATACTTTGAAACAAATATATTTTTCCAGAACTAAAACAAACAAACAAAAAATTAGAATTGGACCCAAAGATAATTAAGAAGGAATGTTTTGTTTATATAATATTTGCAACTCAGCTAGAAGTCTCTTAATTTCCTCACTTCTGAATATTTCCTTAAAAAGCACCAGCTCACTAACCCTGGATGGATTGATAACAAAAAATTCCATTTTAAAATATACTTAATGTCAATTTGTTTATACAAATGCTAGTAATAGCTGTAATTGGTTCTGTCTGAACGTACTTTATTCTAAGTGAAACAAGCAAAATTTTATATAAGCCATTTCCTACTAAGTTATCATGACTTATTTAAATTTCATAAATTTAGCAGCATCTTATTAATAATAAATAAATTGATAAGTATGCTACTGCCTTTTCAGAGCACTTCAGAATTTTTTAATATCTGCTGTTAGCTCATAAGACAGGAGAGGGCACTATCCCTCCCACCCCCCAAACAAGTCAAAATTAAGAGGGATATCACGAATCATACAACAAAGTCACCTAAACACTAGTAACAACTGTCAGGGTGCCATGGGAAACACAGTGGGACAGCGGATTCTATATGTAACTACATTTCTTACTCTGAAGGAGCTGCAGATCAGAGCATAGCACCTCTTAAACCCAATGGGTTTCTTTTTGCTTGTTTGTTTAATAATGTCAAACTTCATAACAGTCAGGGATAAGAGAAAAACAGAAAAGACAAGTACTGTGTCGCAAAATAGAGAATGAATTTGTATGTGCTTACTTATCAATACACAGTGTACTTTTCTGTGCATTAAGGCTTGCTTACCTGCTGCCAATGCATGTCCTGCTCCAGAAGAGCTGGTAGCACATCCAGCAGAAATACAGAGGACAACAGTAAAGTTGAATGTCTTACAAGGTCTCAGTTCTTCCCCAATATAAGGCCATTCATGGGATTTAGCCTGGTACGGTATCTTCAAGGCAAAAACAAATAAATAAGTGTGAGAAATGTACTCTTGGCAGTCAGAGTTCCATGAATAAAGAGGGGATTATTGCCAACCACTATTAAGAAAAGGGATTTTTTTTAGGAGTCTCCACAAGCTAGAATTTAATTGATAATTGTATAATCACACTGTTTTATGAGGTAATAATCAGGTTCCTGAGTGGATAAATGAGGGAACCAAGTTATTGCCTCGTAAAGCAGCATGGTTGTATGGTTATTGTCACCAATGGTAGAAATAGAGGCGACAATTTCATTTTCATCCTGGAAAAGTCCAAATGAAACCGTGGAACTGGCCCAAAGTAGCCAGAGCAGGGATGTCCACAGGCTATTTGAAAGAAGATAGCGTGTTAAATCAGCACCATCATTTTCTTTAAAATAAAAAGACTGAAGAGGGGAATGTACACATATTACTGAGCAGCCACAGGTCAATTCTCACTTAACATTTTTATAAAATACATATATATATAAAGCATGTACGATTAGATCAGTCACATTTTTAAAAATATCTTTAGTACATAATTTCCAATGAAAATGACAAAGTAGAGCAGAGGTTGCTGATAGCAGCTCCATCATCCATAAACAAATAATTAAACAATTAACACAGAGAGGTATTCCTATCATTGCAACCAGAGTTGATCAAAAGCAACCATGTAAATTTTCTTAGTCTATAACACAACCACTGAAAGTTATTTTCAGCAAAAGAAGGTATTGAATAAAGTTGACACCAATCACGAGTACAAAACTATTTTTCTAAGGCTTGGTGGTATATATAATTCATATGTAGAAATTTTCCATAACTATAAGTGCTGAATAACTGTAAAGGCTAGTGATACTCCATTTTAGGAACACAAATAAATTCATTTGGATCATTTGCCTGGCAACTGGTTACACATTGCATAACTCAAGTGAGATGTTCACAAGCAATGTGATTAGAAGACAAATTACAATATTTATATGACATTTTTAAAAAACAAAGGTGATTACAAAGAACCTAAAAATCTAGCACTAATTTAAATTTTGATGCTATTTTCTTGCAATTGCATTTAGAAATCAGGGGGGGAAATCATACTAAATTTTTAATATTTTATCTAATCCTAAATTGGTTATTGAGGTGTTAAGAATATGAAAACTCTCTTTAGTCCAAAGTGATACAAAACTTTATAGAATAAATAAAACTTTGAAATGAATATAGTTTACTAAATAGTGTTATGAGAGTCACCTGATTTATAACAACCGGGGTATTTAATGTGGATTTTTTAGAAAAGCAAGCAGTGTTAAGTATAAAATGCATTAAGGTATTGCCAATCCAGGAAGGTACATCATTTTGTAGGCCAAGTGTCTTTTAAAAAATACACAATGAAATAGGTCAAGAATCAGAAAATATGTATGGAAATACTACTTCTGATGGGCTTTTACTTCTCTCCATATCAATGTTATAGAAGACATGAATTTTAAAAGACCTTATAGCTTGTAGCACATAAAACCACCACTCTGATAAATTTGTCTTTCTAATGTTCATATAGTCACTTTACATGTCTTGAAAGAATTATCTATTTGGAAGTTTTCTGTGGGAGAAATCTTTAGAGAAGTGGGAAGAACTCTGTAGGAGACTGTAATAAATTGATAATTTCACCACTGGTCTCTATATAGGGTCTATATATTTCCTCTGCCACATTCTTAGTCCAAGATTCCTTTACCATAATTTGTGGGTTTTTTGTTTTGTTTTGTTTTGTTTTAAGATTTATTTATTTGTGCATACAGAACTGGGGTACAGGCCAGAGGCTCTGGGGCGGCTAGAGGATTCGCCAGAGACAGAGTGGGGAGTAGAACAGGCAGATCAATGAAGCACACTGCTAAGGGGAGAAGCGGGCGGGTCAGGAGAGGTATGCTGCGCCATGTGGTCACCTCCGGGGCAGGCGGAAATCGAACTCATGCGGAAGTGGCTTTAGCTTCTCGGTGCTGCGCTTTAACCCGCTGCGCCACCAGGGAGGGCCTTTTGTTTGTTTTTTAACAATGGACTTTCCCCATAAATTTTGGCTACTTTTTCACCAAAGGTTTTTAATTACAAATTTAATTAATGAGGTGAAAATTCTGACTTTGTTGCTCTTGACTAGACTTCCCTAACTGTGCAAATAAGTAGATAGATGTTCATGCAAGAAAGAAAATAAAGGTCATAAATTGTTCTAGTTCAACAACAGGGGAAAGACTTCTAAACAAAAGATTTATATCTGCCATTTGGTTAATATTAAAAAGATTTTCCTTGCCCATGAAATGATAGCCATTTTACAAACCACATGTAATACATTATCCTATTTGTAATAACAATATCTAATGTTTATCTGCCCTTTAAGTTCCACAAATGATATAGGTAAGCAGAAATTGTTTCCCCAATTTTTGAGTGAATAAAACCTGAAACACATTTGCTTAATATCATTGGCAATTGGCAGAATTAGGATACAAACAACCAAAAAAGTAGACTTCAAAGTCTATATTTTTATAAAATGATTGCTATATAAAAGGTCTGTTTTCTTATTTTTTAATAGAATACTATAGAGCAAGTAACAGTGAACTGCACATTATATAAGGAAAGTTTACCAAATAAAAGAACAGAAAAAGCTATAACACAGTATAATATCGAAGACCCAGAATAGTGAAGACAACTTTAAATCCCATAATGTATTGGACTAGAAACTAAATGGCTCAAGTTTACTGATACACATTCTACTAGCTGTGTTTTTATTGTGTGAGGTAGTTGCCAGTTGGTTGGCACTTAGGAGGAGCCCAATGGGAAGTGACAGAGAAAGCCAATGCCCACTGGTTCCTCTGGCTTCAAGATGTATGTGTGCTTTCAACATAGACTCAGAAGGGGGCAAAGCCCTCAGCTGTGAGCAGGACAGTGTCTCCCACCACCTCCAGTTCACACAGAACAGCAGAACCTGATCTTATTTGGAAACATGTTCTTAGCTCCTTCTGGACAAAGGGAGGCCCTACAATCCAACACCTGGCCTCTTTACAGAAAACATGACAGGATTACACAGACCCTGAGACAGACACAGGGAGAGACCCGGAGGTCTGCTGCAAGGAAGAGAGCAGGAAGGCAGCTCTCCTGGAATCTTGGCTGTCTTCTGGAATTTGTTGTACATCATTACTGAATAACACTGGTTTACAGTACTATACGTGGCTCTGAGGTGTAGACCACACCTCTTTAGGTGTCTATCACTACTCTAGACCACCACTGAGGCAGCCCAATGGGCACCATGTCCTCCACCGCAGCCCAATGGGCATCATGGCCTCAATGCTGCAGTCAGAATTCTAGAGTTTATCTGTTTGGTTTTCTCTGACCCTTTGCTTTGTTTCTCTATATTCCCTATTTAAATGAAATCATCTGGAAGTCTTTTTCCTTCTGACTCATTTTGCTTTTCGCATTCTCTCTTCTGATTCCATCATGTTATCACAAATCTTCTTCTGCTAGCTGAGTAGTATTCCAGTATGTCTATGCAACTCATCATCTTTATCCACTCATCAGCCTGGGACACATAGATGGTTTCCATGATCTGGCTGCTGTAAAGAGTGCTGTAGTGAACATAGGAGTGCTTATAAACCTTCAAAATTGAGTTTTTGGCCTGCCGTCAGACTTCTGGCTCCCAGAACTGTGAGAAAAGAAATTTCTGATGTTTTGTATCATTCATACTTTGTTGATTCATTACAAGAGTTCCAGGAAAGTAATACAATGAGGTAAAAAGATCCAACTGTTGACGAAAGGATAATTTCAGCTCAAGCATGCTGCAGAGGATGTGATTAGGTTCTGTTATTTTTGCATCATAGTTCAATTTCATGTTGTATTCATTCCTGCATTTTTGACAGGTGTTTCTGAAGAAACTCCCCAATAAACCTCTGGTCTTTAAATTAGCGCAGCATCTTTTCCTGAGGAAACTGATCTGAGACAGTGGTTGCAAGAGTGGCTCTGAGAAGGAAACTCTACAATGATATTTTGGGGCTAGATGACCAGTCAGCTGTTGGCAGTGAGCACCTCATCCCAGGCAGGGTGGCGTGTTGAGAACTGCTTGTATGTTCCAGTGGTGCAGTTGAACACTTTCATCAGTGATGGTACTCTCACCTGGGGTGAATTACCAGGGGGAGGAAGATCACTGGCTTGGTGGAACTGCTAACTATATAGACTATTGTGAGGAAAGTAGGACTTTCCATTTTTGTTAATATTAGAAAGGACTGTGGGATCAGCTGACTTTTGCTGGATTCTATCAATGCAAAGTTGAAAGACAAAAAAGATGTGAAGGTTTTTAATCAATTAAGGCAAAACGCAAAAACCTCCTGGGTAGGATTGCTACTCAGTATCAATAACATCCCACTAAGTTGGCCAGACCAACAAGAAATAGCACATATGTAAAGGTGTTGGTAAAATTTGCAGCTCCAGAGAGTACAAGGTAGACTTTTTGAATACTAATGGGGCTGCTCCATCCGTGCAGAAAGTGGGGGTCCCTGAACTGGAGACATGAGGGGGGCACCACCTGCAAGGCCGACATCAAATTACTGCATCTTGCATCTACCACCACTAGGAAGGAAGGTGTGCTAGACCTCACGGTTGGAGTACAGCATATTCCATACTTTGGGAATACTGTTCAGACCAAGTTACTGTAAAGTACAGATGTGACCAGCTCCTCCTAGAAGAGGAGAGGGCTCTGCAGCAGTTAAGATTCTGTCTAAGCAGGCACAGTGGCCTACAAATTTGTATATACAACTGAGCAGATGCTATGGTGTGAGCACTCTTGCTGGGTTCTATTAATGGATCAAAGAAAGATGACCAACTTCCTGAGTGTAGCAGGAAAAAGATCCACCAAAAGGATCATGGGAGTGGCCTGTAAAGTCTGGTAGAAGGAGATATCACACAATGGAAATTAAATACCATTTGCCACACAGTTCCAGGCACGTGAGTGGACCTTGGTAAAGGGACAGCATCTGCATAAGGAACAATAAGTGGCCATGCAGCCAGGGTCACTTTCCACAAGTTCATTTTTTTTCAGACATGTCAAGTTTTACTGTTAGGTAACAGAAATTCATCATAAAATGGAAACAGGTATCTGGGAAAGGGCACAAGCTCAGTCAGGAGACAAAAACATTGTACAAGTTCAGACCCATGCATCACACACCATTTCTTGACTAGTGGTTAAACTCAGCTATACTTCTGGTTTCCAGGAGGTCCCTCAAGAGCTGAGAGCACAGGTGAAGACAGGCTTGTCCACAAATGTGTTGTCTTTATTGTTATGAGTCAAGCAGCTAGCTGTTCTATGGTCCCATTCAGGGGTGTTCCTAAAGACTCTTTGGGCAGACCTTTAGAACTTCATCCATTTGGACAGAGAGGGATGAGTCCCCAGGTAAAACACAACACATAGCAGTGACTTCGTTTCACTGCTCATGGACACGAAAGAAAAAAGCTTGGATCAAGAATTCCAGGGAAGAAGAATGTAGATAAAGCCATGGGCATGAAAACAGTGGAGGTCTTGTTAAGTCACGCAAATGTCCACCAAAGAGCACCTCCCTCAGAAGAGGTGATACAGTCACATGGGCAGAGTGACACTGACACAGGCCAGGCTCTGTCATCGGCCACCCCCATGTTATCAAGTGGGGTAAATGAATACACTGGCCAGAGAGGCTAGAAAGTAGCAAAAACACTCATCCTCCAAAGCTGTTATCTTTAAATGATTACATCTATGTACAGCAAAGCACTATAACTCTGAGCCATGACTATTGTCTTAATACTGCTGGCTGGAATACAAATTACAGGAAGGTAGTGTGTCACCATATATCCAGAACTTGAATATGCTATAATCTTTGTTATAAGCTATGATCACTTCTATTGCTCAGATTTTTTAATAAGGAAATACAATATGCAAAGTGGATATAAACGGTCTTTGTGTCAATGTTGTTTATATCTTCAAATCAACTAATAGAGCATCAATATAGTATTTTATGTCCTAATTCTATATTACACAGCTACTGAGAGTCAACTTCTTGCAGGATATCTATGGAGATATGTTAAGTGGGAAAAGTCGATATTTAGAAATAAAACTAAGCCACGTTTGTTTTAATAGAGGCTTATATTAGAAAAACTATGTTATAAAATATGGAGCGCCTGATAACCTGATATTATATAAAGGAACAAAATGCCACATTTAAGGGTCACAAAAGGGAACATTCTATTGAGGATTTCTGCAAACTCAGAAAAAAACATCAAGATGAAGCCATAATTTCATTTTTAAAAGACAGTCACTGAATAATACAGTACCTGGGAAGACACCACCAGGCTGAACTGCTGAGGTGACTCTTCAGATGGCATGTGGATGCCACACCCCACAACTTTTCCTCTTGTGACATTATCCGCTGGCTTCTCCCAGTAAACATTGAGAGAGTGTGGGGAGAAAGGGGAGACTGAAGGAGGGGTGATGAACACAGGTGCTGCCAAGGTAACCCCAAGAACAAAGTGATGAATGCCTACTACACACATTCTAGTGCATGTACTATAAAACATAACAAAATCTGCATTCCCTTCCTTACCTTTTTTAAAAAATCCAAAAATATGCTGGATATGAACAGAAAAACTATTCCCTCATTTATGCCATCTACAGGGATGTTCTCTATCTTCATATTATGAACAGAGACATTTTCCATTACCAAAATAAAAAAAAAGAGAGATTGAGATTCCTGTGTTCATAAAGATAACTAGCAGATAATTGGGTAGGAAACCATCTATCTTATGAATTATTTAAAGGGAGAAGTTACAAAAACCAAATATGTCTCAGTCCACAAAGTTCATAACATATTGGATTTCGTAAGTAGAGAGGTATTTCACTGAGCCAAACCAATAGAGCTGGGAGAATATTACTCTTCAGAACGATGTAAATCTACAATGTTCTAAATAACCCCAAAGAAATGTTAAAAGTTTTCAATAAATCTTGATTGAAGTGTTCAGGGTACATACACAGATACATTCTCCCCCTGCCATCCTCAAGATCTTAATATGGATTTTAAATGCGCTAACCAAAGGTGTATTATCAAAGGAGCTCATCGCACTTTCATTAGCCAGTGACCCATAAGATTATGAGGGTCCACTACTGCAGCTTCACCCATCACTTTTCATTTCTGACCTTGATTTTCCCCTTCCAGAATGCCATGGCTCATCACTTGTGCTATCACGGCACCATTATTTGTCCAAGATGGCTGGTAGTCATTAAGAGATGCTCCAGCACAATGCACATTTTATTCATGAAATGATTCCCTTGGACATCAACCTACAGTTTCACTTACCCTCCACAGCCCTAATAGATCCAATTAAAGCAGGACTTGATTTCTCTGGATATCCACAGATTTCAAAGCATAACAAAAGTGTAGTATTTTGGTCAAAGGCTTGTGAAATTTGACTTGAATTTAAATTTAACATGGAAGATGGAAGATTGAAAATGTCTCCCTTGCCTTAACGAGCCTATCTCAAGAATTTAAAATTTTCAGCCTCCATCCTTACCATGTTGACAATTGATTGTAAGCACACTTGTGCATTACAGTTTTGACAGGTGGCAGTCTGTTGTTAGGTACAATTGAGTACCTAACCTGCTTTGGAAAGAGAAATAAAAACAAAATTGGATTTGTGAAACTGCAAACAGTTTTCTCTTTCATTGGACATAAACTGTTCTGAATTTGGAGTAAGAAAGGACATATGGCCAACCCACTTCAGGACTGGAAACCAATTGCTAATTTTGGCAAATATTCCCCAAAGATGATAACTACAGTTAAGTCGTCTTTCCCTCCTTCAGCATTTTCCCCCTAAAACTTGTCACAAATTCTTTATGACCTTGAGTTATTTAGGTAGCCAACTGCTAGGTTAAATTTTATTTGGCTTATGGACATTTAGAATTCTTGCTTTTCAAAATGTACTTTACGCGTTTGATATTATTTGAGGTATTTTCATTCACAAGTTTTAAAAATAGGTTCAAAGCATTGCTCTTCACCTGATCCTCCTGTTCTTTCTGAAGCCCGGGCAGAAGCCACACTGCCAGCCAGTCCCCCAAACTGGTACTGGGTGTAGGGTGCCAAGTCGGCGATGGTCCTGGAGGTCAATGGAGTCTTTCCTGCCTTTTTAGTGGCTGATTCTGCAGAGGGATGAGGACTGGCCCAGCCACTGCTCTGAAACACTCGAGGTTCTGCTGAGGTGTCTCTCCCATTTGCTCTCAATCTTTTCACGTACACTTCATATCTTGTAATTACTCCTAGAAGAATGAAACAGTATCCATCAGACAAACTCTGTTTTGGCATGGATGAGTTCAATGAAAGCATGCAGGCTTTTCATTATTCTTCTGACTAGATTTCCTGCTCAATTCCACCGTAATCTAGAAGACAGGTTCAGATAAGAAAAACAAAAAACCATGAACAGGTGGATTGAAGAACATTTCAACCATTTCTGAATGGTGTATTCAGGTGAACAATTTAAAGGGAGAGACGAACACAAAGTAACTATAACTCATGATAGATACACTTAATCTTTTTCAGGATGAATGGTTCTGATTTTACTAAGAAGGGTTACTTCCTTTTGGGGAATGAGTCACTGTATCTCAATGAGTTTCTTTTCAAAAACTGAGGTCTTATTTTGGTTTTGTGTAAAACATAAACTGTTTGCACAAACATTAGAATATCATTGCTAATTTCTGTCCAGTTCTATCAAGTAATTTAAAAAGTTGAAGAAGAAAGGTTTTGCCATAATATGTACGTGATATTAAATTACTAAAACTCTATGAATGTGTGTCTGGCCTATATAACCAAGGGTTCAATTGTATGAACACAAAAATTAACTTAATGGAGTCAGCTAGCCTATATACATATTTTTTGTATTATTTAATCTCTTTTTCTTGCTCAAAAGAGAAAATTTACTGCTTATGGGTGCCCTAACTTGTGACACAGTCAAATATAATGCATTTCATAAGTGAGTTTTAAATTAGAAACGTCATTTGTATTGTGGCAGATGTCATTAGGAGCAAAAATAATATTAGCCTTTTAAGGAGCAATTTAAATGAATGGAATTTATTATTAGATTAAAGAAATGCACTTGTTCTACTAACCAGGACAAATAGTATCTTCTTTTTTTTTTCCAGTGTTATTTCTCAATTATTTTATCCCATGCTATTACAATGAATACAATTGCCAAACTCACACTATTATCATCCCAAGGCCTAGATTCTCATTCATATTTTCCCCAAGAAGGGGCTAGTGAGTGTCTGAATTCCTACCATTTGGTTCCCTGGGTGGAGACCATTCCACATGAAGTTCCGTGGGACAGCTCTTGGACACCTCGGGGGCACCTGGTTCTTGGGGAGGTGACTGAGTGGTGGTCACCATGAGGGGTGAGCTTTGTAGACAGCCCCCACTTGTGCAGGACTGCATAGGAGAATAGTGCTTAGTGACTGGGGCCAGATTCCAGATGATGGCCAAGGCTTCATGCGCTTCACAGGGAGCAAACAGGTGGATACCACCTGCAGGTGCACAGGACAAAACCTCTCTCTCCATAGGACCACGATGATTGGAGGGTGTGGCGCAGGGATGCATAACTACAGCTGAAGCAACAGTAACAAGAGAACTGAGGCTCAAGCTTCCCTCGGGAATTCCTGCAACTGTCCTGTAGGAGGCACCTGTGCTCCCCCTTAAACCAGGCACACTGATGGTCGCGATGTGGTCAGAGGAGGACGGAAATGGAGACAGGGGAGTATCTGAGAAGTGCTGAGTATCTGAAAAGAAAAAAGGCAGAAAACAATCACATTTCACAAATTAGTGAAATAGCACTTCCAGTTGTCTCCCTGCTGTTACTTGATGACATAAAACAATCCACTCGGTTGTATAAACAGTTCTTTAAAAAATAAATAAATAAATAAAGTAGGGCCCTCCCCCAAGGGGATTGCAACTGGGATAGAAAAATGCACAACATGATGTAAAAATAAACTACTATATTGAAAAAAAATATGGCCCTCCTTGGTGGCACAATGGGTTAGAACACAGCACTATGAAGCTATCGGCAGCAGTGTCATCGCAGCAGGCAGACCTCTACTGACCTACCTGCTGCTCCCCTTTGCAGTGTATTTCAGTCAGCCTGCCTATTCTGCTCCCCTCTCTTTCTTTGGTGAACCCTCTCAACCCCCTCACCTCTGACCAGTACCCCAGTTCTGTATGCATAAATCACAGATTTTTAAAGACTTATTTACTTATTCATACAGAACTGGGGTACAGGCCAGAGGGGCAGGGGTCCTGTAGGGGGGGCGGTGAGAGGATTCACCAGAGACAGAGTGGGGAGCAGAACAGGCAGATCAATGAAGTATACTGCTGAGGGGAGCAGCGGGCGAGACAGGAGAGGTCTGCCGCAGCCCGGGTCAGGTCCAGGGCTGGGGATCCAACTCTCGCTTGAAGTGGCTCTGGATAACTTTAGAGTGCTGCGCTTTAACCTGTTGGGCTACTAGGGAGAGGCCAAATAAATGCATCTTTTTAAAAAAATAAAGTACTGTCTACAGCTCTAATAGGTAGTATATAATAAAAGCCTTTTTTAATGAAGAGTATTTTGAAGGTGTTGAAGCTCTTATATTGTTCTTTATATGGGAAGGCGTGTTTTTCATAGAAGGTAGAGAAAGTTCTATGAAGCAGAAATAACTGTGTGTCACTAATGTACCTGGGTGACTGGTTACTTTACCCATCACATTACATTAACACCCTAGACCAAGGGCTGGGACAGTGGCTGCAGCTAAAAGGGAAGCAACATTAAGAGCTGATTATGGACAATCCCAATTGCTTACTTGACCACCATACCTTCCTTGAGAATTTCTGACAGCTTGGGAGGATGCAGATGATCACATTTTATTTACAGAAAGCATTAGATACACATTAACTTATTTTTAAAGATAGAATTAGACTTCAAGTGGTGAATATAATGTACCATACACAGATGTCAATTTATAATATTATAGGCCTGAAACCAATGTAATGATATAATCCAATGTTGCCTCAAAAAATATGAAATTATACCTTCTTGGAGGAAAAACATGTGATTCAGAAACTTTGAAACTACCTTATCATTATTAGCAAGCTCTCACTAATAATTCTCATGTGTTAAAGATAATTCACCAGTGTATCGTGATCTTAGGTTGGAAACTACTGTGCAAAAGAGTCCCACAGTGCATCAGGCCAGCCAGGAAAAGGTTTTATTCTAGCAAGGAATTCTATAATGGTCTCACCAAATGATCAAACTTGCTTGGACGACAACACTATTAATTTTCTTTGAAAAGTTCAATGATTCTCCACCTATAATTCCAAATGCCTTTATTTAACCCAGAGATTTGTGTTCATCCAACTGAATATAAGTACTGTTTCCTTTTCATATTACACATGCTACCCACACACTGGAAATAGAGTAATAAACATGAGGGTATTATTAGAATGATACAAAGTTCTGACAGCACTAACCAATTGTTCTTACTGTTCAAATGCCATCATGCAGATAATTTTCACATCATTAATTATAGTGATTGTCAAGAAATGCCAGAAGTGGCATATTTTTTTAATGAAAAATAAGGTTTTTGGAAATAATGCTTTGTTTAATAGGATTACATAAATGCCTGATTAGGGAATGCATACACATTTATTATATAAAAAACTGTTGGTTGGGTTCTGTATTAGAGCAACTATGAAAAAGAGCCAGAGATTGTACTCACATGTAACGTTATATAAAAAAAGAACACCATATTTTATCAAGAAAAACATGGACTCAATGACTGAATAGTAACTTATGGCTAATTTTATTACTGAACTAAGCTGTAGGCTGTTCGTAGAGTGACCCTAATTCACACCTTCAGAAATAATTCAACTCCTGGAACTGTCATCTCTGAAATCGCTTTTAATATTTTTTAGAACTCTCTACTCCAATTGCAAAAGTTTCAGGACACCTGGATCACGCTGCTATTTGGATGAAAATAAACATTCTAGTAGCAGGTTTTTAGGATGCTTTGCCAACATGACAGATGTAGACAGATGTTCATTTCCCTCTGCAATCTGCATCACCAAGTTCAGAGTTTTCATTAATGTCAAAGAAGACTTGCAGAAACGAAGAGACATTTCGGGTTAACAGAAAGTGGTAGGCATAAGGGAGAAGTAAGTCACGGAGTATAGGGGCAAAACGCAAACTACCACCATATGGACAAAATGAAACTGCATACGATGCATGAGTTTTACAGCCACTCAGGATGTTAAAACAAAGCATTGCTTGAGTAATTTTGAGAAGGTTTATTGATTCAGTGTTTCTACATAGTTCTTTACACACTCCTCTAACTGATTAAGCATGCTCAGCTGGAAGTGGAAAGCTGGGCATTAAAGAGAGAATAAAATGGAAATTGGAATTGGAATCATTGTTCCAAGCTTTCTTAATTCCAAATATAACAGAGGTAGAAGAATACAAAAGTATCTACTTCTTCACTGTCTTGAGTAAATATTGTAGAGATAAAGGTCTTAATAGTTTGAGTTCCATGAGTTCCTTTGAAACCTAGTGGAAGTTACATATGCAAAACTAGACTTCATGGAGGCTTCACATCCTCTTCTTCCAACTGAACTTCATGTTATTGGGTTCAATCCTGGTGCAAATGTGAAAAGAGGCTGAGAATTACATGAACTACTTGACTGCTAGTTTTCTGGCTCCACTATTGTAAAAAGTCTACATTTAAATGAAAATTTGAAAAGCTGAGCCCGTATACAAGTATTTGATAAACTTTCATCTAAAAACTTCCTTAAAACTTTCTGCTAAACATTCCAAATATATTTTTACTTATTTTTAAATTAAAATATCAATGGGTTGCTTTAACACCTTTGATTACACTGAACAGTATACCATGAGCAATACATCACTCTCTACTCACTGAAATGCAGACTAAGGTAGCATTTCACACGTGATTATATCCTACCATAACACTAATAGAATATCAAGATTATTCTATGGACATAAGTTAGTAAAAGATTTGAGTGTTTGAACATTTCTAAAATTTTATGATTACAAAGAATGTAGGTTTAAATATTTTCATAATTTTGTGTCCGTTTCTGGTTATTCATTCGAGATAAACTTCCTTAATTAGGCTTGGTAAGCAAAAGGGTAATGTTCATCTCTATATTAACAATTTATCTCACACGAACCAACACAGATATCCTAGCAGCTTATGTAAGTGCTGGCCTCTCTACAGCCTCATCAGTGCTGAATAAAATTGTCTTTTTATTATATTGAGGATCTGATAAGCATTAAGGGCTTACCAAAAAATAAACTCATTTTTATTGCGTTTCTTTGATTACTAGTGGAACTGGTGATTCTCTCTCTGCTTGAAATACTTTATACTAGACAGAGGAAACCACAACAACATTTATCCTCAGTGTCAAAGAACTTAACGAATGTGTCAATTCTCAGAATATTATATCTTTCCATCACCAAGCCTTTAAACTCACCATATGGGTATTGATTCTCAGTTGTGTACATTTCAAAACCATCCCTGAATAAGCTGTATGTAAGCCAGTGGACATTTGGAGAATCAGGTGGGCTCCAGGAGAGATTGATAGCCAAAGAACTTTGAACTTGTCCTCTGGGTGGAGGTTGCTGGGATGGAGCTAAATTACAATGGAAAGAGCATTTATTAGTAAAGGCAATCAATAAACACACAAGTAAACTAAAGTAAGATATCCAGCAAAGAGGTCTTTCTGATTCAAGATTACTTTATCAAGAAGACATGTGGTTTACCGAGACATTAATAAACCAGGGGTATACATCATAAGTTCTCTAAAACAAAAGCTTTTTATCTATAAGCATAAAACAAATTTGTAGGTCAATGCAGCTGACATAAATATGTTGGGGAAATAAACCACAATAGTTTATATGAAGAACTTTGCTTCTGTTTTATTTTTTTGAGAAACAATCACATGTTGCATAATAGTATTTTCCATTTAATTAATGTAAAATTGATATACCTAAGTTCTGTTGAATCTTGAAATTTAAGGAGCATTCTTTTTTTGGGGGGGTGTTTAAAAGGAGATTTTCTAATTCATTAAACACAGTACCTCATTTTGTTTCACAGAGCACAGGGTAAAAGAAAAAATAATAGCTGTGATACAAATAACTCTACAGATTTTAGATGCTAGATAGTCTAAATACTAGTAAAAATAATCAAGTGTACTATGTTGTGAATTCATTAGCAACTCTTAAGAAGTGCAAAAACTGTTACAGTTGTTTGTTTCCACCAGGCTCATTATTTCAGTGGAACTTGTATAATTTAAACACCTGGCATGTAAACACTATCTCTTATCTTTGGATATTTTTTCTAGGCTCCATATTTTTGAAGGTAAACTTTTACTTCCTCCCCTCTCTCCAGAATATTTAAAGGTAAAAGAGAAAAACAATGTTTAAATATTTTTAAAAGTAAATCAACCACCAGCTTTCTTCTGGTTGAACAAGATGCAAAAATCATCCATTTAGAGAAGCATGATCTACTCGGGTGTTCTCATTCAGTAAGATGTCAAAGGTACTGTTTGTTGTGTTAATTTACTTTAAAAATCATTAGTTTATTTGTTAAAATTTTTTCTTAGATCATCATTCAATCAAATAATTATCAATATCTTATATGAATTATCTGTAGCACTAAGGATATATAGGGATTCAGGAAAAAAAAAAGGAGCACATTTAAATTGAGTAAATAAATAAAAAAGCTGAACAGGCAGACCGTTTTCAAAAGGGTGGGCAGCATGTCAGTAAACCAGACAGGCAAAGCAGCACTCTGGTGCCTGGTCACAGTAGTTCCTCTACCATTCATGACACAGGTTCTGAAGCCCAGCCCTGGGTTCAGGTGGGCTAGTTCTAATGTGGGCACAGTTTATGACAGCAGAGGATACACAGTATGATCAACAATGGTGGGGAAAGACAGTGTCATACAACAGAGACCAGACACAATCTTCCCATCACATAGCAGATAGTTTAATACTTCAGAAACAAGTCCTTCTAAGGATAAGCGGTTAACTTGCTACGAGTACTGATTTCCACACAGTCTCTTCCCTTAGCATAAAGAGCCATAGCAAGGTGAGTTGGAAAGGACAGTATGAAGAGCATGGTAGAAAAGTTGTCACCATTTAGAGGGATATAGCCAGCTCAAGAGCACCCCTACACTGAGACATGGAACTGGGGGCTAAGTACCCCAACTTCCCTTTCCACCGATGACTAGAAGTTTCTCTGTCAGAGGGAAAGGGGCCTGCTGATGCAGACACTCTGTTTTAAGGGAAGAATAAGGAGGTGGGTCATGAAATCACCTGCACAAAAGGCACAGACCTTCAACTAAGAGCTGTTGCTATTGCCTCAATTTTCAAGGGTGATAAACACCATTTTAATGATATAATAGACTAATCATATTTATGAACATATTTTTTCATAAGCAAGTCATATTCCATAACCATGGACTAGCTTTCCATTTCCTCTTGTCTTATATTTCTTTTAACAACATCTTACGGTTTTCACTGTTACGTCCCTCACCTCTTTTTTCAGGTTTAACCTGGATATTTAAATCTTTTGATGCGATTTGCAAATGAGGTTGTTTTCTTTTTCTAGTTTGCTGTTTGCACATAGGTATGTGACCACTGTTTGTATATTGACTTTGTAGTCTGTCACTACACCGTCCTTATTTATTGTTTCTAGTACATTTTTAGTGAAATCTATAAGTTATACACACACACACATATATACATATATATGTACACCACATTGTGTGTGTGTGTGTGTGTGTGTGTGTATGTATAGCATCAAATAGTAATAGTTTTACAACTTTTTTCCACTTTGGATTCATTTTATAGCTTTCTCTTGCCTAACTAGCTCCAGCTTGGACACTTAACACTGTGTTTAATGGTAGTGGTGAAAGTGGACATCATTTTATTATATTGAGTGTGATGTTGATTATGGGTTTGTTATAAATGATTTTTATGATGTTGAATTATTCTCCTTCTAACCCAATTTTTGACAGATATTATCACAAATGAATATTATTAAAGATATGTCTGCCTTATGATCCAGTAAATTCTCTCCTAGCAAATTCATTTTATTCAAATAATGCACTAATTTTTAAGAACTATAAGCACATCTATGTTCATTCCAGAAATATTTACAATAATCAAATTATGGAAAAAAATCCAAGTGCCCAACAACAGATGAATGAAAAAGATGTTATGCTTTAATTATACTGTGGAATTCTACTTAGTTATAAAAGATGAAATATTATAATTTGTGTCAATATGGAATGAAGTGGAGGAAATTATGCTAAGTAAAATAAATGAAAAAGGGCCCTCCCTGGTGGCACAATGGGTTAGGACACAGCATTGCAAACCACACACAGCCACTTCAGTGTAAGTTCAATCCCTGGGCCCAGAGGTGACCCATATGGTGTGGCAGACCCCTCCTGTCTCTCCTGCTGCTCCCCTCAGCAGTATTTTTTGTCAATCTGCTCCTCACTGCCTCTGGTGAATCCTCTCATTGCCTCTTCTCCTCTGACCTGCACCCTAGTTCTATATGCACAAATATATATATATATATATATATAACTACCCCTATTTAAAATTAATTAATTAATTAAAAAGATACAGTCATATGGAATATAACGAAACAAAGGACCAGGAAATTTAAATTAAAAAACCCTAGAACTGTGACTGTAGAGTTGAGGCTACCGGAACAGGAGGGTAGAGGTACATAGGAAAGAGGGAGAGTATCCCATCAACTATGCTTAAGGGGCACTGGCATTTTGGTGGTGGGTGTGGTATAGTAATATACATCTGAAGAATTCTGAACCTATACCTATAAATCATACACAGTGTTATAAACCAAGGTTCATTCAATAAAACTGTATACTTTAAAACAGTGCTGATCTGAGTGGGAAAACCTCCAGCAATGAGAATGATGTAGTCAAATGATTTTTTTGTATAGCTGCTTGGTAAATTTAATCAGGAAGGAACAGTCATTTCAACAAATATTACAGGAACATTAGGTATCTATGTGCCAAAATACAAAAATAAAAGAAAGAACTTATATTTATCTCATATAATTAAGAAATTCAAAATATTTCTAGATTACCTGTCCCCTTGGTGGCCTAGGATTAAGTCTTAGTACTACTACCACAAGGGCCTGGGTTCAATTCCCAGCCAGGGAAGTGACCCACATGGCACAGCAGATCTCTCCTGCCTCGCATGCTGCCACCCTCAGCAGTACAGTTCAGTAGGTCCACCTATTCTGTTCCCCACTCTGTCTCTGGTGAATCATCTTATCCTCTGCAATTCTGGCCTGCACTCCAGTTCTCCTATTCAAAAATAAATAAACAAAACCTTAAAAAATATTTTAGATCTAAAAGTAAATTTTAATAACACAAAATCTGATAAAAAAACATGGGATACAATCTTTGTTGCATTTAGTCAAGCAAAGATTTCTTAGATTGGGCACACAAACAATCTTAAAAGAAAACCTTGGTAAGTTTCATTTAATCAAAATTTAGTATTTTCACCTTTTAAATATCATACCATTGAAAAAATGAAAAAAAAAGCACATGGATTGGGAGAATCTATTTGCAAATTGCAATGCAGATATATAAAAACTTCTTTAACTTGATTAAGAATGTTAAGTATCTCAACAAAAACAAGGGCAAAGAATTGAAGGACAATTTGCCAAAGAAAACCCAAGAACAGTAAATAACCACACAGAAAGATGCTCAATGGCATTAATCATTACAGAAATGCAAATTGAAACCACAATGACATCCCACCACACAATCATTAAAGAGCTATAATGAAAGAGAATCAATGCCAAAGGTTGCTGATGCCACAGAAAAAGTAAATCAGTTCTCAAAAATTACTGGAGAAAATGTAAAATGGTGTAGCCATGATAGAAAATTGTCAGTTTCTGAAAAAGAATTCAAAGAACATTCACTATACAAATATGCCTTTTTACTGCTAGAGGTAGTATTTGTCCCATACAAATAATAACAGCATTTGTATAGCAAAGATATTTAACACATAAAAATAACTATAGGAAATTAGAATGGAATTTAAACTTTTTACTATAAAAACCCAACTGAACACAAAAGATTTCAGTAATAGAAGAAATGAGGGACATGCAAAAAATATCAGATAGAAACATATATATGCATACACATGCATAAATACACCTATGTGTGTGTAATATTTAATGACCAAAGTCACTCCCATCTTACCAGTAATTAGCTTAAGTATAAAGGGATTAATCCCTTCAATCAAAAGAATAGAACAGAGAATTAAAAAAATAGGTCATTTGGCCCTGCCTGGTGGCGCAGCTGGTTAAAGCACTGCACTGAGAAACTAAAGCCACTTCCTCATGAGTTCGATTCCCGCCTGCCCCGGAGGTGACCACATGGCGTGGCAGACCTCTCCTGACCCTCCCGCTGCTCCCCTCAGCAGTGTACTTGTCGATCTGCCTGTTCTGCTCCCCGCTCTGTGTGTGGTGAATCCTCTCACCATCCGCATCTCTGGCCTGTACCCCAGTTCTGTATAAATAAATAAATAAATCTTTAAAAAAAAAATAGGTCATTTACAGGACTTTTGGTAAGAGTGCTAAGACTATTAACAGAGATATGTCATCTTTTTAACGGTGATTAAGAAAATCAGATATCCAAATGCAAAAATAAATAAATAAATGCAGTTGGATCCTTACCTCACACCCTGTATAAAAATTAACTCAAAATGAATCAAAACTTAAATGTAAATCCTATAACCAAACTAAAAAAATTCTTAGAGGAAAAGATAGGGCTAAAATTTCTAACACTGGAGTTTGGAATGATTTATTGGATCTAACATCAAAGGTGCAGACAAACAAATTAAAAACAGACCATTTGGTGCACATTAAATTTATAAAAATGTTCACCAAAATATATCATCAGCAGAGCAGAAAGGTAACACATGAGACAGGGAAAACTATTTGTATATTTTCCTTCTGACAAGAGACTATCATCCAAAACATATGGGCAACTCCTAAAGCACAGCCAAGAAATAAATGAATGAATGAATGAATGAATGAATGAATACATTTTTAAAAGTGGTCAAAGGGGGGTCCTCCCTAGTAATGCAACTAGTTAAATTGCAGCACTGTGAAGCTAGCCAGAGATGCTTCAGCCCGAGTTCGATCCCTGGCCAGGGAGCTGACCCACGTGGCACAGCAGACCTTTCCTGTCTCACCCCCTGCTCCCCTCAGTAGTGCATTTCAGTCAATCTGCCTATTCTCCTCCTCACTCTGTCTGTGGTGAATCCTCTCACCGCGCTTGTACCTCTGGCCTGTACCCCAGGACTGTACTCCAGTTCTGTGTGCATAAATAAATAAATCTTAAAAAAAAAATAAAAGTGGACAAAGGTCTTGAAGAGACATTTTTCCAAAATGATACATGCATAACCATTACACATGACAATGTGCTTGATATCACTAATCATTAGGGAAAGATAGGCCAAAAGTATAGTAAGTTACTTTCATACATACAGGGTAGTTACTATCCCCAAACTAGAAACTAACAAAAGTAGAATTACCATTAAACTTTTTTTTTTATTTTTAAGTTTCTGAGGAACTGTACACTGTTTTCCACAGTAGCTTTATCATATGACTTTTTCAGTGACCAAACAATTTCTCCCTGTCCTGCCACTTCTGAGTATTTACCTAACAGATACGTAAGAGTCTTGAGGAAACAGAGGTATGCTGTGTGGATGGTGGCATTGCTCGCAGAAGCTAAACATGGAAGCAGCTCAATTATCTACTGACAGAGAGATCATAAAAATGTGGCATATACACAATGCAGAATTATTCAACCTGAAAAGGAATACCTGACACGGGCTACAACACAGATGAGCCTTCAGGACATTATGCTAAACGAAACAAGTTAGTTGAAAAGAGACAAGTACTTTATGATCCTCTCTATATGAGATATTTAGATTATTCAAAATCAGAGAAACAAAATTAAATTGTGGCTACCTGGAGTATTCTAGAAAGTAGTGCTGAATGGGCAGTTTTCAGTTTCACAGGATTTAAACACTTCTGACGGTGGTGCAGCATAGGAATGACTCAATGTTCCTTACACTACATACTTGTGCTTTTAAAAATAGTTCAGATAGTAAATTTTATATTATATATATTCTGCCACAGTAAAAAAAGCATTTTTAAAAAAGGTGAATGTTGTATGGCAAAGAAACGACTATAGAAATGACCACAAGATGAATAAATAGACATTAACACAAAAATGAGGAGTGTCAAGAAGAAAAACATAAATGAGTTGTTAAAGTCAAAAGCATAGGTACCTGTTAATATAAGTGTGTATGTAGGCTAAATTCAGAGCCAGAAGTTTAGGGCAAATTGGAAAGTCATTCACTAGGAGAGCATACAGAAAAGAGACTTATATAATACCTGTTTTGCTTCTGTCTCCCTTATCAAAGGGAATGACTGTCACTTTGAAAGCATGAAACAATATTAATAAGAAAGAGCTGCATCACACAAAAGAACATATTAGGAGGGAGTCTAATTACTTTATTTGAATTCAATCTGCCTGTACTCTGGAAAGGATTAAAACACCAACTCTCCATCCAAAGAAAAAAAAAAAAAGGAATCCAGGTAACATTGCTTAGCGTCGGCACTAGCCTGTGGGGCAGTAAAAAGCCAGAGTTATAATCCCCAAGTTCCCAAATTGTGTAAAAGGACACCGTTTTTTGAAGGAATATGCGTTCTTGACATCTGTTGTACACAATGAAAAATACTAGCCCGAGGTAGTACACAGTTTCAACAATAGATAGCACTCCATTCCTTTCGACAGCATCCCATCTGGGGAAAGCTGGCTGCTCGGACCATGGTCAGCATGGAAAGTCGGGGCCACATAAACAACACATGGAGCCACAAGGCAAGCTGGCTCATTGTGGTCGGCATTCCCTGCCTTCCCGCACACCCTTCAATTGTCAGTGCCCGTCACTCATGTGGACTACACTTAAGCAACCTGAAGGAAGGCATCTAGTCTAATTTCTATTTTTTAAAAAGATTTATTTTATTTATGCATATGGAACTGGGGTACAAGCCAGAAGTACAGGGGTGGTGAGAGAATCCACCAGAAACAGAGTGGGGAGCAGAACAGGCAGATCAGCAGAGTACACTGCTGAGGGGAGCAGCGGGCGGGTCGGGGGTGGTCTGCCGCGCCATATGGGTCACCTCCAGGGCTGGGATCAAACTTGTGCTGTAGTGGCTGCAGCTAGCTTGCAGTGTTGTGTCCAAACCCATTGCACCACCAGGTAGGGCCTAGTCTAATTTCTTTTAATGAATGAACTGCTGATTTTAACTTTGTTCTGTCTTATAAATTCTATGAATAAAAACCTAAAAGGAGCAGCAGCATCAACTACCCCCAATAGCTAAACAAATGTGTTTTGTAATAAAGCCCAGGGGTTAGGAGGATGAAAAGGAATAAACCCAGGGATGAGCTCAATAGAACAAGAAAGGTGTTTTATTTTTAATTATTAAGAATCAAAAACATTTGGAAAGACCAAGGTTGTGAGGAGGAAAAACAGAGGAGAAAAGACATAGAATCAGGTGTCTCTCATGATGAAGAAATGAACACAAGGTTCTCAGTGACCAGACTGCCTATCTTTGCCTGAAGTCTAATTCCTAGACTGTATCTCAGGTGCAAGGCAAGGTAGCAAAAATAGTGGAACAGATGCCAACATTTTCATACAAGATTAGTGTTAGTACTAAAAACAAACAAACAAACAAACACTCAGAACAACATGCTGTATACGAGCTGCATCACGAGCTGCCTGTAGCAATTCTATCATAAATAATGAACTGTAATTGACATGCTGGAGATGTTGAATTCCCAAGGCAGACATCAATTCTATAGTTAATCAATGATAATAGCTATACGTTAAATTCTCAAAGATTTATGTTTAGGCTGTATTCATACAGGAAACAATTATGATAGTCCTTTCCCAAAAAAAAGTAGTTTTATTTACACTAAAATCCAGAGGGATTAATGGAAACAAGATACTGATAGTGAACTACACAGGTACAAAATCTGAACATATCTGTTACTCAGTGACCACACCTCAAAATTTTGGGTAGTTGCTGTGGCACTCGACAGCCCATTTATGTCTCTCTCCTTTGAATCTAAACAGCACAGTTCTAGGTATACTGGTGTATGATGACTTGTTCTGACTTGTGGCATGTCTCATCACTTGTCTCTCGTTAGTCTTGGGACACATCACAGAGGTTTGTAGACAACCCCTTAACACACTCTCAGCAGATATTTCTTGGGAATTCTAAAGTAATCAATGCTATATGATATTGGAGTAAATATTAAGAGATCACCAATGGAATCTGAAATTGCAAGGACTGCAGGTGACTTGAAGAAGTCAATTCAAGGCACTAGAGAATGGTAGAGAGAGACACCAACATATATTAGGGCATAATCTCTGGTTTCCTGGAAAGAAACACAGAGATGCAAGAAGATGTTTGTATGACTAATTCAATGTATAGTACAAAAAAAAGGGATTAGGAAATACAGGAATACTATTGTGCTTTGTTAAAATAATAACTATTATAATGTGTTATATTATATATTATAATTTATTATGTATTATATATAATAATATATAATATAATACATTATATTATAACTATTATAATATCAATAGTTAGTGAATAGTAGCATGGTGCCCACAAAATTGGGGCTGAGAGGCCCGAAAGCTCATTGTAAATAAGAATCTGCCTCTGTTACAGAAGTTGTCAGGGAATGTTCTTATGTGGCAGGGTGACCAATCATTAGGTGACCATCATTTCTGCTGAATTTTCAGAAAGCCCCATGGCCTAAGGAAACCTGCACCCTGCTTGCTTTACCAGTCATTCCACTCTAGCTGACTTTTGTAAATTTTCAACTAACAACATAATCACACCATTTTCAATTATCAGATCAAGGAAAAAGAACACAAACCTTACTTAGCAATGTATTTTTCATTTTCCACCTGAATTTGCCACACTGTACCTAAGCCTGAAAGGTCCTGAATGGAGCTGGAGGATAAGGTGACCCTCTGCTTGCTGACGCTGCTCACATCCCAGCACCGGGTCAGGGCTCACTTACTTTTGCTGCAGCCCCACAGATGGCTGACATCCAAATGGCTTGCACTGGGAACACAAGCATCACACTTGGTGCCAGTGACAAATCGTTCACAGAAGCACTGGCCAGCGACTGAGTGACTGGTTTCATTCAAGGCTCCTGAGATATGACAATTGCAAGACTGACATCTGAAAGCAAGACAAACAAATCATCAGAGAGAATCATGTATTGATTAATAATTCATAGCATACTACCTCTACCTACAGCATTGTGGACAGAGAGAGTCCGCTTTAGCCAATATACTGGTAAGGATTTTTGAGCTAAATAAACACATGGGGAAGAAGCTATCGTTAATTATCAGTCACTAAAAAAGACAATTTTTTTTAAATATACGTGAAGTAGAACAAAACAGAGAAAAATCCTTCTCAAAAAGCTGCTTACGATTTTACCTATATGAAGTATAGAAGAAGTATGCAAGAAACTTACAGTAAGTACACATAATTATATTTTCAAGTATCCATAAAGTTGAGAAAGAGAGGGCCCTCCCAGGTGGCACAGCGGGTTAAAGCACAGCACAGAGAAGCTTAAGCCACTTCCGCATGAGTTCAATCCCCGCCTGACCCAGAGGAGAACCACATGGTGAGGCAGACCTCTCCTGACCCGCCCGCTGCTCCCCTCAGCAGTGTACTTCGTCGATCTGCCTGTTCTGCACCCCACTCTGTCTCTGGTGAATCCTCTCACC